CTAAGCTTGACTGGACGAGCGTGAGCAACACGTGGCCGAATCAGCGTGTCACGATGGTGACACTGGGGACAGCCTAGTTGCCGCCAAACGCAAAGTTGAAAGGCAGGGGTCATGGCACTCATGTTTTTTTGCAGTTCCGCCACGCAAGTGAAGCCACCCACGCTACTGCACCCAGGCAACGAAGCCAATTGCAGCCAACAAGCCTTTAACAACAGCTTCGCAAATCGGTATGTCAAACAAGTTTGCCATATGCGCGAGCTCCGTGCCACCTGCTGAGTGGGAGTCACTTGTGCCTGGCACAACAATGCCTGGATTTTGCATATCTCGCAAAAAGACATGGCTCCAGAGTTGCGCCGGAAGGGCTGTGTTGAAAGAAGGAAAAAGGCAAGTCACTCATCACAGATTGTGTTTGAAACTTCTCAGATTCTCACAATAATACTGGAGCCACGTCATGGCAGGAATGCCAAGCAAGGATGCTGTGCCACTCGTCCGTGAAGCTGCCTTTTGGGCAATGAGGGGTGGACCTCAGAACACTTGAACTGTTAAGTCAGGAATTGAAGGCGGAGTTCGGAGCAGATTTAGTTCGAGTAAACTGGGCACCCCTGTGTTTCATGGCAGAGTATGTTAGGGCGTTTCTGAATCAGATCCAAATGTGTAACACTACTATGTGTGCGCCTGTGTGTTGTGCCTGTAGGATTGACGGGAACGTGAACATGTTGAGTGATCGGTTATCCAAAGCGCTCGCGGAGAAGTGGGGGTTTGAACAGACACAGCAGAATTATGGCCGAATATATACGGGAGTTACGTGAGTGGTGTAATTTAATTCTACTGGGAAGCTGCCTGCGGGAATGTGCGCAAAATTAAAAACACGATGGGAAAAATAAACATCGCCAATTTGCCAGAAGGCCAAGTCTTAGCGAGCGCCCGCTGGCCTCTCAAACGTGCGAAGTGAAAGCGGAATTTCCTGCGCGTGCCTGGGTTTTATTGGCGTGGGAATCAAGCAAGCCAAAGCAAAACATACGGCCAAATTTCGAGTGTTTGCGTCCAGGCTTTGCGCCCCAATCCAAAATTGAAGCAAACCTTCAGGCCAAGTTCAGGCCTTAGTGCGTGTTCCTCTGGGATTTGAGTGCAAGCCAAAATTAAGGCCAAATTAAGGCCAAATTAAGGCCAAATTAAGGCCAAATTAATGCCAAATTAGCGCGTGTGCCTATGGGATTTGGGTTCAGGCAAAATTAAGGCCAAATTAAGGCCAAATTAAGGCCAAATTAAGGCCAAATTAGCGCGTGTGCCTATGGGATTTGGGTTCAGGCCAAATTAAGGCCAAATTAAGGCCAAATTAAGGCCAAATTAAGGCCAAATTAGTGCGTGTGCCTATGGGATTTGGGTTCAGGCAAAATTAAGGCCAAATTAAGGCCAAATTAGCGTGTGTGCCTGTGGGATAGGCCAAATTAAGGCCAAGTTAGTGCGAGTGCGGGTAAATCAAGGCTAAATTAGCTAGGGGATGTGGGCTCAGGCCAAATTAAGACCAAATCAAGGCAAAGTTACGCGCTTTAAAAAGGGCACAATAAGAGCAAGAGCAACGCAGGCAAACGAAAGGCAAATTCAAGCAACATGAACTAATCGGCGGGCGTGTGGGCAGCGGTCGATTGGCGGAAAGCGCACCCGGAAAACTAGGCGTTGGCAAAACCAGGCCCCAGAATTAGCCAATTCGTGTAACAAAGTTGAGATAGGAATAGCTTTAAGTGTTGCAAGCTTCAGACACACAGGCGCACTCAGACACACATTTCAATGATTTCAGACTCAAGCTTTTTGCGGAACGAGACTAGTTACAGACCAATGACACAAACGGTCAAATCCCGAAACCCTCAACTGCGAATAAACCCGCAAAAAGCAGAATGATTATTGAGAACATTTGGCTTTAACTGGCTTAGTGAACAATTGCAGCTAAGACGGGGCTTTGAATGGGCTGAACTTCCTACTCAGATTCGCTCTTCTCAGCAGACTTCTCACTCTTGCCATCGAGGTCTGCCTTCTCGAGAGCCGCCTTGATGGAGGTTACACCAGAGGTTGCAAACTCAGCCGCCTTCCGCTTCCTCGTGCCTTTCCCCGACCCATCGCCCAGCTCGCCCGCATCCACCTCCGCAGCCGCGCCCTTCGCCTCTTCTTCTTCCTTTGCCGGCTCTTCCAGCTCGTCACCTTCTGGCTTCACCTCGCCGGTCTTCTCTTCTGCGACCTCCTTGGGCGGAATTGCCAAGCTTGTCAAGTGCTCAAGGCGGGCCTTGTCCGTGATTGGCTTGCCTTTCCGGCCTGCCAAGACGACTTCGCAATTGCGGGCCTTGACGGCTCTGCACGTTGTACGAAGCCAGCAGATTCGCCGCGGCACCCTTGATCATCTTCACCTCCCAGTCATCGCACCCGCCCTGAGCAGCAGAAGGTAGCAGGAGCTCCCGCTTTCCTACTGGATCAAGTAGGTATTGCTTGTCCGTGCCAGCCTGCTTGTAGATGATGGGCTTGTCCTTGGCATCCTGGCGGATCGGAACTCACGAGCGGCTACTAGGTGGATGATTGTTTGTCAGGAGCATATACGCATTGTTGTAAGCGCCCCAGGCATTTCATTCGTAAAACCACGTTTGACGTTTGGCCGACCGTGCCTCCTCTGGCTCTTCCTCGCTCACCCCAAAGTCGTCGGACTCGGCAGGGGAGTCGTGCGTTGCATCTTTCTTCTCGTCCGCAACTGGCTTTGGTAGGGGGCGTGCGGCAGAGTTGGATGCCGTCTCACTTCCGTGCGTCGTGCTCGGGGTAGGAGCCCTTGTCTTTGCTGTAGACGCGGATCCCTCCTTCTTATCATCCAGCTTCTGCTTCTTTGACTTTGGTCCTGACGGGCCAGCGCTGCAAGGCTAATGCTTAGTTCAAGCAATTGAGTTGAAGGAAACGAATTTTGTAGAACGCAGTCCCGACGCAGCCATCCCTCTCAGTGGCGGCGCCAACGTGGTGTTGCCGACTTTGGCGTCCTTTTCCGCCGCCTTGATTTGCTCAAAGACTTCCTTGCAGTACTCTGGATCGAAGACGCCCTCGCCCTGCCACAAGCACTGCCCCGCATCATCCTCGTAGATCTCCCACGCAGCTCCCGCCTCAGGCTGGCCAAGCTCGACGCACGTGCCGCTCGGCATGTGCCACAGCCAGGTGACCTCGGGCTTGCCCCTGCGGCTCTTGCTCACAGTCAGCTCGTAGCCAAAATCCAAGTCCGCAGACTTGACAGAGTCGCCGTCTAGGTCCTCGTCATCATCCTCCGGCTCATCGCCTGATGTCACCCAGGCTGGTAGCGGTGCTGGGGTGTGATCCTCCAACGGTTTCCCCCTCCTGGTGTACTCATTGAGGCAAGACTGCTTCATCGTCTCTGGGACCCTCCTTGGCGAGTGAGTCTGCTGGGAAGTCTTGTTTGTTTCTTCAGCAAAGACTAGACAGACAACCAACGTAGCGGATGATTTTACGGGACAAACATGTCCGCTGGTCCCATTTTCCTCCTCGTTTTGTGGCTGTGGCCCAAATGGAACTGGCAAGGGAACTATGTGTGAACTAAATTATTTGTCAGAACTCATGCCCTCAGCGGTCTTGTTTCCAAAGCTGCGCGAACTCAAGGCATGGAAAAATGGACAGGTCTTTTCAACGAGCCAGGCAAGATCTTTGTTGCGGGACCCTTTAGTATCCACCCCTGAGCCGTTTGCCGACGAGTGTCTCAGCCGGCTCATCATCTGGATGAAAGCCCAAACAGAAGCCCATCGTCAGGAAGAGCTGCTCTCGATCCATCTTTTTGGTCACCATAGAGTTCATGTGGACTCCATCCACGTGCCCCAACCATTCGCGAAAATGGCAGTTCTTAGATGGCAGGCGGTTTCTGACTGCATTCAGTAAACATTAAGTTCAAGTTGGTTGCCAGCCGCAAATTCAGTTAGGCAAAAGACCAAGGTTCTAAAGAACCTTGCTGGTGATTCAACTTCAACTGGGTCCCTGACGGGCATGGCATTGAGATTGGGCTGGTTGTACCGCAGAGTCGACACATTGCGGCCGCCGCTAGCAGCGGGCCGGTAGTTGCTTGCATCCCGCTTTGGCTGGGCCGCCTTCGATTTTGCTGCAACTCGCTTGGGGGCAGGAGCCACCTCTTCTTCTGGCGGCAGCCCAACCACGCATCCCCCTGGCCACCTAAGTCCAAGGCAACTTGTGGGGCAGAAGGAAGAAACATAATGAAAAGGTAGCGATGCACGTTTGTCATTTTGTTTTCAACGAGTGGAGTTCAATGAGCCCTGCTTGCCGCAGAAGGCAGGAACATTGTCAAAAGATAAAGATGCACGTTTGTCGTTTGTTTTCAACAAGTGGGGTTCAATGAACCCTGCTTGCTGCAGAAGGCAGAAACATGTGAACAAATAAAGATGCACAATTGTCATTTGTTTTCAACGAGTGGTGTTCAATGAGCCCTGCTTGCCAGATAAATACTATTTGGACACAAACTGAGTTTGACACTGAATTGGCGAGTCCTCACGGGCTGCCATCCGGTTCTTTGGAACGAACGTGCGACGGTCACGGCCAGCTGGTTCACGAGGCGCTGGTTCACGCGGCGCTGGCTCACGACCTCGTCCTGAATCACGTGGTGGTGGTGCGGGCGGTCGACGCTGATGTGGAGGCATCGCTATCAGACCCGCAAACAAAGTCACGCACTGAGGGGCAACCACGAGGCTCACAGCCAACAGCTGACTGCCAAGCATGAGCCTGATGGGTGCTAGTGATTCACTGACGATTGCAAATGCGGTCCAGCCAACTGTATTGCGCTGCAGGCAACGCGCACACAAACAAACAAACAAACCCTAGTAATAAACACTGCACACTTTAGATGCAGCAACACGCACCTATACACACACGCACGCAAGTGCGAGCTTTTTGCAACGAAGTCATGGCCTGATTTGCGGTGTCGGAGAGCTAATTAATTGTCATTGAGCGCGGCTGTGTCACAAACGGTCTATGTCAGGCAACCGAATCTTGAAACTGCACAGCGCCACTAGTTGCACAACGCCTACGCTGGAAAAATTCATGGCGTTTCCCGCGATTAGGGAGCACCGTTTTACATCCAGAACAGGTAATGGAGGGACAGACATTGCTGACGACGAGGCTTGGCAAACAGGAAAGCCAAGGGAGGAAAGTTTTTCCCTGCCCGTCATGAACCTTTTGAGGTGCGGGTTCCACAGGAGCCCTCCGCCGCAGCGGAGGGTAGGGATTTTTCCCGAAACGGCTGACCAACAACGCCGGCATTCGTTGTCCCCCAGATAAATCACCAGGTTTGAGTTGGTTTCCGCCTTCTCGTTGAATCTCGCCTTGTACTCTTTGCTCAGACCGGAGATTACTCGACGTTCCCTGTCTGTCAGAAGGGCAACGATGTTGGGCTTGCCACGAACCTGAGTTGAATCCCAAACGTGTGGCTAGAAATGCGCGGCTTTGAAAACGGGACTTTGCTCAATACCCCATGCTTCAAAATTCTGCCCCGCTACCCCAGTCTCAAGGTGTCAACAGGTCAGGTCTGGACTGATGTTCGTTTTGAAGCCGTCGAAATGCAGGGCGGCCTTTTTCGAAATGGTCAATGTCAAGGCTAGAGGCATTAAAACAGAATGCAAACAAACTAAAACAACATAATCCAGTTTCTTGCCACGCCGAGTTTCTGTTTTGAGATGTCGCTTGCGAACACGAGCAAGGTCTTGCGCAGCTAGCAGCACCTCCCGCGGAGTGGCGATGAAATAATCAAAGGGTTCGGTGTTCACGAAGCGCTTCATTGTGCGGGCGATGGCCGCATAGAGGTTTTCTGGATCCGCCACACGCGTGGTCAGCTTTTTGTGGCTCAGGATGCAGTAAACCCTTTCCCGGCTTGCTCCCGTGTGGCCCAGGTCTCCAACATCGACCCTCAAGGGGTATACATCATAGTGCTGCCCGTACAGCAGCTTGATCATTTCCAGCCGTAGGTACTGCAGTGGGCGCTCAAAAACAATAAAACAAGGGACCCAAACTTCAGTTGAAAAGCTAAGGGGTGCTTGGCAGCTGGGATGGTTTGTCAGAATCAACAGCTACTAAAAACTAGTATTGGATTGAACCTGAAGTTAGGGGAACCTGGAACCTTCTGCAACAAAGCCCAAGTCCTTCGTGTTTTCCACCACAATCAAGCGGGTCTCCTTTTCCACATGCCTCTTGGCATGAGCAAGGAATGCCCCAGCTGTGCGGCCTTCCTCTTGGAGCCTCTTCCCTGCCAGGCTCATGTCCCAACACGGGAGGCCCGCGACCTCAAAGTCGCTGTGAGCTGATGGTGCGCCGAATAGCGCGCACTCTTTGTCATGTGTGAAGCAATGCTGAGTTCGGAAGAGGGGAGCCTGGTCCACCTTGCGAAACTTCACGATGAACGGGTCAGCTGCTTCATACGTGCGCTCCGGGAAGCAATCTTCCAGGTTGCCAAACACGCAGGGCATTGGGCAGCATTTTCCGCTGACCTTCGAATCAAGTCAAGGGAAAGCAACAGCAGCAGAACCACCACCACCACCGCAGCCGCCACCGCAGCCATCACCACCCCCACCAACCACCACCGCCACCACCAACGAAACGACCGCCGCCACGACCACCGCCGCACCCGCACGACCACCACCACAACCACCACCGCCACCACCAACAACAACAAGAACAACCAACAACAAGAGCCACAAGAACCACCAACAACGACGCGTCGCACGCAAGCACGCACACACACACACACACCACGCGCCGCACACAGCGCGCTGCACACACCACACACCACGCGCCGCACACAGCGCGCTGCACACACCACACCCCGCGCGCCACACACCGCGCACACACACACACGCACAACGCACGCGCGCGGAGACACACACACACACAGACACACAGACACACAGACACACAGACACGCAGACACGCAGACACGCAGACACGCAGACACGCAGACACGCAGACACGCAGACACGCAGACACGCAGACACGCACACGCGCACACGCACACGCACACGCACACACACACACACACACACACAGACACACGCACACGCACACGCACACGCACACGCGCACGCACGCGCACACGCACACACGCACACACGCACACACGCGCGCCACGCCACACACCAACGCACCACACACCAGACATCACACACCACACACCTCACACACACACACAAACACCACACGCGCGCACGCCAAACACCCACGCGCACGAAACACACCACACACCACACACACCGCACCACCAGAACCGCCACCACCAATACCGAAAACAACACTACATGAATATGCATCAACAGCAACAGCAGTAGCAACACTGGAAACAAGAAGAAGCGTCACACAGTGTGGCGCATCACTATGTCACTGAATGTGGGACACAAACAGGCCTTTGCGTGAGAAAAAAGAGTTGAAGCATCGGACTAACGAGGCGGGCCTCCTTGTACCACTCGAAGTTATCTCGAATGAGCTGGCGACACCCAGAGTTCCACTCCTGCAGCGTTGGCCCAAATTAGAATTGAAACAATACCTCTCAGTGGTGAGTCAAGTCTCCTTAACGCTTAGTTTGAACAACCATTTCTCAGTTCATTGGTTTGTGAGCTGAACATTCAACATCGAACGACGGTATAGACGTCAATGAATGGGCACGAAAGACATTGCGCCAAATCAGGCAAGATTCGTGACAGCTGGAAGCCCTACAGTTCATTGGTCGCGCAAGTTTGCCAGACTGGTTCACAGTGCGCTCTATCACCGCCAGCGAGAGTTCTGAGGTAAAAGCTCCTGTGCAACTGGTGCTCGTCCGCCGGATGCTGGTCAAAAGGGTGTCCTTCAAGGTGTTGCGCTATTGCGCTATTTCTTTTTGAGGTGAACATTAAGTTTGGGGGAAATTGCTGCTACTATATGTCCCGCCTTTGGGGCGCTTCAAAATCGTTAGGACCTTAGGAATGTTGCTTGTGAAAGCTTGCGCTGCTAAATCACAACATGAGCAGAAATTCAAACCCACGATGAAGTTCGCAGAATTGATTGCTTTTGGATCATTAGCGCATCATGTTTGACTTTCCTCCAGAACGCTGGTTGGCATCAATTTCGAAATCTTCCACCACGCAATCTGAAAAACTCGAGCAGCTCGGGCAACCATGCCGTTGTCCCTGGGTAGTTCCTGGGATTTGAGTTTGGCAGCCAACTTTGTAAGCTTGTCAAACTAGAAAGCAACAAACAAAAGGTCCAGCTTACAACTCTAAAGAGGTACTCAAGGGGCCCAAAACGCAGGAACGTTGTTAAACATTATGATTTGCAGTTCGGGTCTCTGAAAGTGGCTCTGAGCTGACAGAAGTGCTTTGGGTCCATACTGGGCCTTCGTTCGCGGCCTCTGAGTCGCTTCCACTAACGGCAGTCAAGTCGTCCAGATTCAACATGGCAGCAGGCGAGAGTGTGTTGCACACAACCAAACTGTCAAAGGATGTGGTTTCCTTGTTTGCGAGTTTGGGTGCTTGAAACAGATTACCTGACCCCTTGCTGCCGATATCATCACTCACACACCGAATGTTCACTCCTGCCATGTCTAGACTTGAGCGCCTAGACGCACCTAGCCCGAGCCATCTCTCACCGGGCAGAGCTTGTCACAGGACTAAAGAAGTGCTGAGGCAGGCTGTCAGACTGCCAACTTCTCAGGTTGCGGCCACTGGCGGTGCAAAGCAGCCGCGCAAGATCTGTGGCGCCCATATGTAGCCGAGCTCCGTAGGCATTTTCGCAATTGACGATGCATCAATGTACAACTTAGCAAGCAAAAACAAACACATCATATGGAGACTAGCACGTGACATGTGATTCGAGTGTCAGACTTCAGGCTGAGATTGTGGCGTGGAAAACCTGAGGTGGATTCATTTCCGCTCTTGCGCGGCACCAATACACGGCCTGAGTCACAGCTGTGCGGGTGATGAGTCTGAAATGGTTCGGCTTCAAAAAATAATAATAAGCAACTTGACCCAAATCGATTCTGACTAGCAGCTGACACGAGGAAGGCGAACCTGGACACCGAGACATGCTTGAGCTCGAACTTGTCCAGCACCGCGCGGATCGTAAGACCATGATCATCCTGAGGTGTCAAACGGGCTGGGATGACAAGGGTGGCAAACGTACTTGCCCTACACATGAATTTGGGTAATGCGGGCAAAACTCGTTTTCGTTCAAGTAGAACTGCGCCGCTTCAGCGATCGAGTGTGTAAGTGCGGTCATATGGCGCATGCGGTTCTTCTCGATTTTCTGAATGTATCCAGCGGCTTGCACGGAGAGTTTCCTGACATTTTCATCCACCCACTTGGCGAACTGAGCGAGCATGCTGAGAACAAGGGGCTGCAGAATGCGCCCAGCTCCAGCAGCTGCGCCAAAAGCAAAGCAGATCAAGTCGGCAAAGCTTGGCCGGCCAATGTAAGATGTGATAGGGCTTTCCGGGTTCAACCTGCAAATGTTCCATTCATCAACAATGCGTGCGTAGATGACCCTGTTCCACAAGTATCTGGAATCCAGCATACTGTTCTGGGAAGTCACCTCAAGCGTAAGGAGCTCTCGTGTGCCCACTTGACAAATCTGAAAATTCAAGGATGCTCCCACTCCAACCGCGTGCGTGAAGAACTCGTGAAAGAATTTGATAGCCAGCTTCTTGTCCGAAGATAATCTCTTACCGTGTGAAACTGCCCAAAGAATCCAGGAAAATGCCAGGGATGTTGGAACTGTTTTGCGTTTCAAAAAGAAACTTTGATCAGCCAAACTCTCGCCGCTGTCAGCTTCATGTTTGGATATCAGCAGGTCTGGAAGGTCTTGACCCGGCCAAATAGCTCGGTGGACGTCTTCAACCAATTCCCTTTTGTCAGTGAAATGGGCCAACAACTTCTTCTCAGCTTTGGTTTGGAAAAGGTTGCTGAGCAGGTCCACAACAGACCACTGCGCTTGAATGCTCGTTGAAGCGAGTGTGATCACTTCGATTGCAGGATTGCCAGGTACTGCGGATCGATGCAGTTCGACCATGGCGCGCTGACAGAACCACTCAAAGTAAAGCCGAACGAGTAGCTGGCTATCTTCACGAAATGAACGGTCAATTGGCCAGTGGCCTATTGTTTGTGACACTATGCCTGCCTGCCTACTTTCATGCTTCCACATTAGATGATCACTGCGTAGAGTCTAGAGCCATCTCGCAGTTCAAAAGAGACAAGGTTGGTCCCCACAAAAAAATAAGGCTTAATTAGGGCTTAATTTGTCCAGAAGGGTGAGTCTCCCAAAATTAATTTGGTCTTAATTTGGCCTTAATTCCTCCTTAATTTTGAGGCCAAATTAAGGCCTTAATAAGGGCTTAATAAGTCCCTACTAAGTCCTTAATAAGGCCTTCCTTCTATGTGTCCTCTTAATTTGGCATTACTTTGGAAGGGGGGGGGGTTCAGGGGGGGGTGCTTTTGTAATCTATGATTCTGAGTGTTTGCCTTTGCTCCGAGTTGCTGGGAACTAGCCATCTGGGAATAAACATGTCTGCTGACCGGCCTTCAATCAGTCATGATGTTCCATTGAGTGAGTGTTTTGTTCGGGAGCAGGACTCACTGATTTGTGGATTTCAACAAAATGGGCGTAAGCACTTTCCGGGGAAACATGCTGCTTCAGCACGTACACAAGTTGCCTATTGTTAAATGCCAGGAGCTTAGTCACCGCACCCCTTGATTCTGCTTGCCGCCCAAAGAGCCGTGCCCTGCTTGTTGAGTTTGATAAGCCAACACCTGGGTTGCATAAGCAAAGCGTTAGCTGGCGCGTAACCAGCCTTTCAGGACAGGGAAGCTCCTGGCTTGTTTTTTTGGAGTAGCACAATTGGAACCCTGCCGTAGAAAGATCTGCAGCCTCGTTGTTAGGTGGGGTGTTGAGCGGCGCTGCCCTTGATCTCGATGTGTTGTTTTGTTTTTCCCCCCCTTTTTGTTTAAGGGCAGCCCTAAAAGATCGACGCCTGCAGCTCCGAGGTTGCCATCTTCTTCTACACAAGGCGCCAGTGGTTGGCGCGTTGGAATACTAGGAATCGCACATTTGCATCCACACAACAATCCTCAGGAAGTTCGGGAAAGGTTACTCACCAAATCCAAAGGCACTCTTGGCGCAATAATGATTGTGGCCAATTTCCGTTTCGGAAAGATCACGGAAGCAGCAGCTTCATCTTGCCATTTAAAACAGTGCAGTGCTCAACTTGAATGGTGCAATGGTTGGGTGGGAAATAGAACGGCACTTGATTCCCAGCGTATACAGCCCACCCTGGAGCAAATTCATGGCCTTTGAATGCGGATCCTGAATCTCTCTTGGCGAAAAGGCCCAAAAAGGTCAACCAAGAAGGTGAACGGCATACGGGTTGACCTTGTGCCCTTTTCAAGTTGGTTGAGAGGGCTGCATCCTGGATCATCCCTCTTGCCTCCGATCCCTGGTCCTGTCGCAGGGTACCTTTCTCCCTTCAGGTTCTTCAACTATTAGTCACTAAGATTTAGGCACCTATTTTGTCTGCAAGTATCAGTCAATAAGTATCAGTCACTAGAATTTAGGCTTTGTAAATGTGTGTCTTTGTAAACTTGAGAACAGACAAAGGAAAGAAGACTAGTCCTTGTGGGGCTTGTCATCCCAGCGGCAGGGCTTTGTACCACCGGGCCATGATGGAGACCCAGGGTGAGGCGGGCGTGTGAGCTACCATTGGAAATCCAGGTCTCCCCAAAGAGATTTGTGTGTATGTTTTTTGAGAGTACCTTTCTATTTGATATCTCTCCAGGAAAACCTAAAGGAACACCATTTAGTGGGTCCTCTAAAGAAAGCCACCCCCCTCATTTCCTTCTTTCTGGGATGACATCAGGATCAAAAAAGAAGAGTAGGGGCGCGAAGGGCCAGTGGCAGGACGCCACAAGTGAGTGTCCTCACGACTCGCGCTGCGGCTTCGCCCAAAAACTTGGAAAGAACAGCTTCATCTTTTGGTCCTCGTCTACGCATTGACCAACAAGGAAACCTAAGGTAAAGTCCGTTTGGACAATTGAGCAAACCTTAGCTGCGATCCACGGCAAGGACATGTTTGTCCTATATCACTGGCTGAGCCGCATGTGCTTCCGGTGCGGTGGATCCATCGCGGCCCTTTGTGGCATCCGGCAAAGCTGTGGATGGACAAAGTATACACCAGTTCGTCAGTGCCTTATCCCGGTATTTATTAGGGCTTTCATCCAACCCAACAGCTGCGAAGCGAATTTTGCGCAAACATAGTACGTTTGGCAGTCCACCAACTGACATTGGGTCACCTTCAGTTGGTGGTTTGAAAGCCAAGCTCTGGCAGATGTAAATGTAGCACCCTCCCGTTACCTCCAAATCACACGCTCGAAGCCACCAAATAAGCCCTTATGAATTTTGATGGGGAACCACCCCAGTGGTTGGACACAGCTAAATGATATCCACCAGGGGTCCCTACTGTGGATTGACTAACAATTTGCATTCCTCTGCAAATACCAACAAAAGTTCTGGTTTCATTTCGTGGTGCCATTTCTGGATTTCGATTTCAACCATCTCTATAGGGATACCTTCCCCATTCTTTCCAGGGATCCTTCTTTCTAGAACAACTGCGGAACCCCAGGGAAAACGGATCCGGTTTTTGAGAAGAACGATGCTTGAAAAGAATGGACAAAAAATCAACCCCTAGACCATCCGTATGGATCCCGAGTTGCAAATCACTCGGCCGCACTCACCGGGGTTTACCGCTCGCACGCCGTGAGTCCGTGAGCCCAAGGCGGTGGTGCTCTCGAACCGATCCGCCTGCTTCTTGAAGTTGGACCTCCCCCGGGAGGCCGTGGACCCGCGCGAGAGGAGCTTGTGCTGTTGTTGAAATGATGCGTATTACAGATATATATATATATATAGAAATATGCAAATATATATATATATATGTGTATATATATATATGTATGTATATATACCTGAATCATCAGGTGTGCATTTGTCCCTCCGTTTGCTGAAAAAGCACAAATTTCTGTCTTTCTGTCGCAAATATGTTTTTTCCACTGCAAACGCGTTTCAAATTTGGCTGAAAACAGCATGCCGGTTGGTCGTCGCCGTTTCACCTTCGTGGATTTGTCCCACAAGAGCAACAAAGTGAAAAGTGCCTCGAGACACAACAAAGTGTTGTTTGTCTGAAAAAGCTGCTTTTCACGAAAAGGCATGAACAAAAACACACTTTGGAAGAATCGGGTATGTATATATATATATATATAAATGTGTGTATATCATACTCATGCGTATTTATAAACATGAATTATATATATATATATATATATATTATACAAGATGGATATATGCGTAAAGTTAGACATATAATTAGCTCTGTATGTAAATGTATATATATATACAGTATTTGCATTGACCAATGCATGTGTACAAAGAAGCACTAGAGGCAACTCCAGCACGCGGATCTCCAGCCGTTTTTTCCCGCCTTTATCCCTTTTTTCGGGGGCGCTGGTCTTTGGGCTAAAAGGAGGTACTGATGGACAAGTTCCTGGACCTGTTGGTGTTTTTGTTTTGTTTCCAAAGGGTCTCTGTTTTTTTTGTCAAAGAGTCTCATCCATCCCACTGGGTGTGGTTCCTTTGTGTAGGAATCGTTGGTGGTCCTTTTGGTGTCGCTTTAAACATCCACAGCATGTGGCCTGTGAGAATCCCCGATTGGTGGTGCTGAACATTTCGTTCCGATTCCAAGGGATCCGGGGAATCGGATCCGGAGCCTCAGTTTTTGGCTGTTGGCTTTTGGTCAGCCAATCAAAAGTTGTCTTCCAGCTACTTTTCCAGCCACAACCACATCGGGTTAGGCCAATGTATCCAGATTTGTCTCTGGTCCATGTGGGAGAAATGGACAGGAGGACGAGCGCCAAATTGTCCCCGGAAGAACCCGATGACCCCAATTGTTGCAGGCCGATGGACAGCTATGGTCTGCCACAGTGTTTATAGCGACCTGGGGTAAATTGGGCTCACTATGCCGTTGCTTTGCTTGTCCCGTATTTTGGACATATGGCCATGGTTCAAAACCAATGGTACCATTTTCGGGTAGGTGAATTCACCACCCATTCTAGAACCTACTTTAGTGGGGATTGAATCGGATGTCCACTGGGGGCA